CTATTGTGAACAATAGTCCTTGATGTACCTTTTTTCCACATGTACAACAAAATAATGTTTTAACATCCAGCATTTACTCATTTTAACCCACTAATATTTTTCACATCTGAAGCATCTTGTGAAATTGAGTTCCATAGTTGAAATACTCACCATCTGAAAAAGCACATCCTCCCGCCTCGCCTAACTACTGTCCCTTGTGACTTCACTTGGATTACCTTGCTTTGTATTTTTAAAAATGTAATGAAAACCTTTCCTCTGTTCACCTCCACAATGTTATAAACTTCAACTGTTTCCCTATGCTACATGTTATCTAAGCTGAAAAGTCCTTATCTATTTAATTGCTCTTTGCAGAGCCCATTACACACCTCTCTCTGTTGCTCATCTAGTTCTGAGTTGACCCAAGCTGCATGCAACGTGTGAAATGCAGGGGCACAACAGGAATGCTCGGTGGCACATTCAGTGTTCCCTTCCCAATAATTGCCAAGCCTCTGTTTGCATCCAGGACTTCTGCCTTGCAGGAGCTGTCCCTGAACTGCCCACAGAGGCTCCAGCATTTCTGCCTCGAGCAATGGTGGCATACTGGTGTGGGTGCTGGTGCCTGGTTCTTTCCATAGATGTTACTTTGCATGTGTTGATAAGAAATTTTATAGGTCACTTTTTCAAAGTACTCAATACATTGACATCCTTTTGCAATTCTTAATGATCCTTCTTTATTTTTTTTACCCTGAAAAATTTTGTATCATCAATAAGTTTTGCATGTCCATTCACCTCCCCTTCCCAAGAGATGTGGAAATACACTGAGCAGGTCTAGTAAACTCCTTCCACTGTGAAAACTGGCCTTGTCCTCTGTTTCCTCTTATAAACAGTTATTGATCTATATTAATACCTTCTCTTCTACCCCATGACACTTCACCAAAGCTCTTTGAAACTGAAAAGCACAGTGGCTCATATGTTCCAATCCTCATGTTTCTTAACTCTTTGAAAGAAACACAGGTTTCCTCAGCAAAAACTAGACAACTTTTCCTCAAGACACTGCATATATCCTCCTTTCCTTCTTCCAGCTGAGATTATTTAGCTTGATTCTAGCTCCAGCTAGCAGCTTGGTACAGAAGTTTTCCAGGGTCACCCCTTCTGAATCCCCATGGAATGTTTTCTTCCATGCTGGCATGTGTCACCTCCTCTGTCCCTGGCTTGTCATCCTCTCAGCCAGCAGACTTTCAAAATACTTGGCTGCCTGATGATGGCATTGCAAGTAACTTGTCAGCAATTATACTGTGTTTTCTTTGTTTGGACACAGTGTACACCTTTACAGAAGGCATATTTCTATTTCTAACAGCTTTCTTCATGCAGTTGTTTAACTGTGCTGAGCTATTTATTTTTATTTTATTTGGTTGTATGTGTATTTTAAGTCTCTAATTAGGTAATTTAAACCATAACACCACTAAAGCACTTACCCTGATTGTTCTTTTAATTTATTTGTAGAAAGCAGGCTTGTTTCTAATATTGTTCTCCTTTTGAAACGTGATAGGCTCTTGGCTCTTCCCTTTCTACAATAATACTGAATTTGAAATGTTATAACAAATATAACAGAGCACCTTTGTGACAGTTACATCTTGAACTACCCCTGCTCAGCACTGAAGCAAGATTTGCCTTTTTTTCTCTTATTGAGTACCAGGCAAAGTGCTAAAAGAAACTACCATCTATGGTACCTAAGATGTAGTCCCAGCACTGTGCTCCATTATACAATTTATTCAGCCTTAATGGGAGTAGACGAAATCTCCCATTATTACTCTGTTTTCTGCTTTTACAGCCCCTGTGACCTTGTTTAAAGGTGAATATCACCATCCTTGTCAAGGGGTTTTCTGTCTACCTGAATCTTCTGCTCTTCCTACTTGGGCAAGGAATGTCAGGGCATTGAGTTTCTGTGATATTAAATGAAACAAGTTTTCTGATCCACTGCAATATTTTCTTCTGCATTTGCAGTGGGTGTTCTTTTCTCTAGATTGTACCATAACAAAAGACCATTCAACTGTACAATTTTTCTTAACTGTTGTCAACATACAACTCAATGCAGGTCAGCAAAGGTGAGTTTTTACCTGTGGCTGCTGCATGAGCAAATCCCACTGTTGTTGAACCCAGCACAGAGTCTCATGCTGAGCCCTTAGCTTCATCTCTTACCCACATCTGACCTGGAGAGCACCAGCTCTTTTCCCATCTGTTCCACCAACACCAGACAAGAGCAGCCAGAGCAGACACTGAAAACAATAATGTGTGCAACATGGTTACTGTCACAGCATCCTTTTGAAATAATGTTAGATTACATTAGCAGATGAAATTTTAGCAGATGAAAAGGTGGTGGTGGTGGGAGTTATTTGGACTCTCTTTTCAAGGATAGGCTGATTTCCCCTGTAAAATGCCACAGCATCAGCTGGTGAAGGCAGAGCACATAGCTGACTTTGCAGTGACTTTTGGAGCGTGCAGTGACTTTTGCAGTGCTGCGTGCACACAGCGCACAAGGTAGTAGCAGTCAGTATAAATGGGAGCTCGAACCTACTTACTGGCTCCCCAAGAGAAAGCCACATGCCTGCCATACCTATGGCAGCTGCTACTTTTTGGTAAAGGTCCAAATAGTAAAAACAATCCCAAAGAGGTGCTAAAAGCAAAGAATCGATTGTTATCACTGCCTCAGCTTGGGGAAAGGGATAAACAGGCTATAATAAGTGTCAGATTTCTACAACTGCTCTTTCTCCGCGAGGAATAAGCCCATCCATTCCTCACTGGCTACGCTGAGGTCAAGGCCATGCCAGAGGAAGTCACTGCCATTAGCAGACATGAAGACAAGATCTGGTGTGCCGGTGGGATCTATCTGAACTAAATAGTTGGTTTAAATAAGAGCAGCTAACCACTACTGCAGCTGATGCAAATCCTCAAGTATTTTGATTTCTTAATGGGAAAACAATACACCTCAAACTTCAGACAAATTGTAGTTAGTCTGAAAGGGCCAGTCCGTCTTTGGAAAAATGCATGGTATTGGAGCTGCTGCAGTGCCACATATTTCAGCTGTGGCATGAGCCTCCCCCCAGTGCCCGTTACACTGCTGAAGCTCATCTAGCTCAGGGCTGGCCCATGCTGGCTGAGCTGTTCCATGGCAGTGCACACAACTCATCACTCAGTGCCTCTCTAAGCAGCCACTGCCAGTTGCTTGGAAGCAAGAAGATTCTAGAAGAAACAAATACAGATCAAAGTACCCACAGAAAAGTTTGGAGGTTGGTTATGCCCAGCAAAAAGTGGGTTTAATTCTTTCAAACTTTATTTTAATCCCATCTAATGTGACTATGAATATCTCCTTTGCCAGTCTTGGTGTATAACCATCTTTCCAGCCAAGCTCGGCAGCTGACTGCCAGGCTCTCCTAGGGAGGTGAACCACCCAGAAGGGCTCCTTTGCATTTCGCTTGCTTGCTGCTTTGCGTTTTGGCTAGCACTCCCTGTCGTGACATGTTGTATCGGCTGTGACTAACAATGATGGTTTCAATAGCCCTGATGCTGAGGAGGGGGAAAATACAATCATGAGATGCCCATGCATTGCCAGGTCCTGGTTGTGCTCAGGTGCAGGGCTAGCTGACCTGACAGGGACAAACACCTGCTTGAGAAACCAGTTCTCTTCTTCTTTGCTCCCACCTCATGTGTAGAGACCCCACAGAACATGGCCAGGGCATGTCTTTAGAGCAACTTTTGTCTTGTCAGCAGTGACTGCATTAAATTTTGCTGTGATCCAACTCATAATAAAAAGAAAAGAAGCCTCTCTAAGGCTGCTGCTAGACACAGCAGCTGTGTTATGACTGTGTGCCACTTGACTATGTGCAACAGTGTTAGGACATTACACAGTGTGGTCTTGATTCTCTGGAATAAAATCACTGCTCTGCCAGGTCGCTCCCACTGTGGGAGTGAAGCTGTTTATATCTTTCCTTAAAAAAAAAAAAAAAAATCTGGGCCAGCTCCAAAATTCAAATCTCCTTCCACAGCACTTTTGTCTTTTCTACCTTTTTACCAGTCCTGTCACACAGGATCCAAAAGGATCTGGATGCACTACAAGCATCCAAAGGGATATTGCAGCGTGACACACACTCGCACGTACAGGAACCTATATTTAAAATGTCAGTTTAAGACTGCCCAGTGCAAGTGTCCTGAGGAAATTCCCATCTGTCATTCTGCAGATAAAACATCACAGAGGAGCAATTTATAAAGGCCGTATTCAAGGCTCTGAAGACACAGTTCTTTCATGTGTATCTCTCTGCTCTTGTACTGGTTGTCTGCTAACCCACAACCTCTCCACACAGCAACCTCTTGCTCGTGCATCTTGCTTATGAACAAAAGGAGAGTCGAGGGGTTTTTGGGGGGGGGTTTTGTTTGTTTGGAAATGATGTAGAAATGTAGTGCCATTTTTTTCTTCCTTTTTTTTCCTTTTTTTTTTGCTCTTGCTATCAAGGTGGTTACACAGCCAGCTCTTCCTATCTGAACTTGTTTTTGTGGGCTAGCAACACCAGCATTTAGATCACCTGTGGTGTGGTGTGACATGAAGGAGACAAAATTCAGGCCCTCTCTCTTCATTTATACTCCAGCAATCTCATTTATATGGAGCAGAGAGCTGGAACAGCAAACTTGCTTCAGTGTGGCCAGTTGATTTATAAGGTGGCATAAACACACAGTGCCGCTCCAAGGCTGAAGATTACTTTGGTTAGCTGCCCTACTTCCATTAGCGTTAGGTCACTTGAGAGCTATTTAGTCAGAGCTCCATTTCATGCACAGATGTGTGGTCAGAGCTCACTTTCCCAGTTCCACATGTGCTGGCACTGCCTGTCAGTGCCACCTGCCCCTAATGTCCCTGAAAATCACCTTATTCTTTCAGGTGGCCTCACCTGAGTTCATGTACTACCTAAATTTACAGCAAGGGAAGCCATCCTTTCAAAGACAACATCTTTTTTTTTCTTCTTCTATTTCAGTGTCCTGGCTGGTCCTGAGTGAAATTTTCCCTGGTGGGATCAGAGGCCGGGCCATGGCTTTGACATCTAGCATGAACTGGGGTATCAATCTCCTCATATCCTTGACGTTTTTGACTGTAACTGGTAAGATTTCTTTGTGTCCTCCTAAGTTGATATTCTAGTGAGCAAAATGAATCTTTCTTATACAAACAACATTGCTAAAATTGCAGCTGTGATGACCCAGGAGCCAAATTCAGATCTCTGTTTAGGTGCTGTTTGTCAGTGTAGCTTCACTGTTTCCAAAACATCTTTCTAAATTTGTGCTAGCAATTACAGCCTCACAGTGCTGGCTATCAGAGCACCTTGCACATTGACCCCAGCTCTTAAAAGCACCATTGCCTTAATAGGTTGAAAATACATAATATTTAGGATTTAGTCCTGCATCTTCTGAAGTCAGTGGAAGTTCTGTGCTAGATCAGACCACAGCTTTTCTGTTCAAACATTTCTAAAGACAATCCCAGTGAAATAATCCATTTTCAAAGGAATGTCCTGGCTTTGAGAAAATTTCCTTTAGAAAAAGGTGTCTGTAACATGAAAATGTTTCATGTTTTAATGCTGGTATTGAAGCTCATTGATTGGTAAATACTTTTTTCTAATTTTATTTCTTAAAAAGTTTTGCAAATCTTAGTTTTCAGTCTTATTCTGAGGAAAATAATGTGCTGAAAATCAAAATATATAAGGGAACAGAAATTCCAGGTTTCTTTTACTCTACATTACTCTCCACAAGAGGCAGGCAATCAATCCACAAAAAGTTGAGGTGGTTTTCATCCTGTTTTCATCCTGTGTTCTGAGATGGATTTTAAAACGAGTGTGATCTGTGACTAAAATTAGTTTCACATTGGTGCTTTCTTTTCTTTAAAAAAAAAAAAAAAAAAAAAAAAAAAGACAGTGAAAACCCCCTGAGTACTATCTTGATTAAAACTATGTTGGGCCAAAATAATTGTCTCCACACTAGCACTTTAGTTAGATCAAGGGTCCTCTTCAGAAGAAAATCATCCAGTTGCCTCCCCTCACTGCGCTTTGGTTTGCATCACAGGGCAGTCCTGAATTGCACAAGCTTTTGGACAAAATCAAATCAGAAAATGCATTGTGAATGCACTCCAGCTGCCAACATGTGCTCTAGTCCTCGGACCAGACTAGAGCTATTCCTAAGGAAATGTCACAGAAGACAGATAGTACAGACCTCGGGTCCTTAGCGTCTACTGTTTCACCTGAAGACCCTCTCTTCTCGTGCAGCATTAGTTGTTAATGCACACCTAGCCATTATTCTGCTCTCCGTTTCAATGAATGCAAAGTTGCAATAACTCTATTGGTTTAGCTGTGTCTAATCTGGATTTATGAAAGTGTAACTACCAGCAAATATGTCTTCCTGGTCTATGTCAGAAAGGCAGAATTGGAAATTCTGTCTTCGAATGAATACATATAGAGGTCATGGTGGCCAGTAGCACCTGCTGGCCACCATGACCTGATGTACCAGGTATCTGATGCAGAAGATAGCAGCTGGATTAGCAGCTTCAGCTGCAATTTTTAACTGACAACACAACTGGCAAATATCTCAACTGTCTGATTTAGTTTTATCGGGGAAAAGGGCTAATGAAGCTGCAGCAGCCTGTTGGGTTTGTATAAGCTTTACTTTGCAGAGGCTGTGGACTACGTGTCTCAGCCTGAGGACCTACCTGCCCCGGACTGCAGGCTCAGAAAGCCACTAGTTCTTGGCTGACCCCATTAGGAGTTCACTCTTGGATCCCTTTCTGGTGCAGGACACATGACTTGCACTGGAAATGCTGGGAACTGACAGGCGGGGAGGATTAGCTGGAGATAATTGCAACAGTGTGAAAAATGCTTGGGTTTGTTCCATGGAAGAATGTGCAAAACCAGACACAGGTAGAAATTCAAGGCGCTTGTGACCCACAGTGCCTTCGCGCAAACCAGTAACAATGACCACTCATGGTTTTCATCCAGAGTGACTGCAAGCAAAATGAATTAACAGGCTCATGCTAAATGGGTCAACATGGGTTCATCAATTTTCTTTCATAAACAGTATTAGAAAAAGGAAAACTACTTCAAATTATGGCCAGGCACAAAGAAGTGAGCTAAGAATAACAGCCTAACTTCTTTCTATTAGGGGCTGTGTCCCATAAAAATATGGAAACAGAAAAAAACCAGTAGTATTTGAAAATTAAAAAAAGACATGTTTTCTTCCTTTGTAGAGCTCATTGGCTTGTCCTGGGTGTGCTTCATTTACACAATAATGAGCCTAGCATCCCTGGCTTTTGTTATTGTGTTTATACCAGAGACGAAAGGATGTTCTTTGGAGCAAATATCCGTGGAACTAGCTAAACAGTAAGTACTGGGCATGTGACCACATCCCCCGGGTGCCAGAGGGATAAAGCCTTTCAATTATACACACTAAAAAAAAAAAAAACCAAAAAACAAAAACCAAACCAAACCAAAACATTGTGTTTTTTCTGGAAAAATTCAATTCTCTCAAGGCTTGAGCTTGTACATCTCAGTGGCCAAGCAAACATTTCTTTGTTGCTGAAGGAAGGACTGGCCCTAAAGGGATGGTGGTTTCCAGCATCCCTATGAGAACACCTCCAGCCAGACTGGGCTCCCATAAGTTTTGCTGACTGGTGTTCCAGGAGAGGAGGTCAACTGTGTTCTCACATTTAGGGTTGTGTGTCTTGGCTTGCATGCAGAAAAAGGGAAGGAGAGGCCCTATCTCAAATACTTCAAAGCTCACTGTGGGTTTTGATAGCTCTTCTAGGTGGGCATTTTTTTGTGCTTCTACTGAGTCCTGTGGCTCTGTAGACTCTATGACCTCATATCCAAAAAAAGGTTCTTCCAATATGAGTTTTGTGTTCCCAACTCACCACACAGAAAGGGTAGAAGAGCAACGAAAGGGAGAGTGTCGGTGACATGAATGCCATGTGCCTGCTCCTCTACCATGAGCCATTCTGACTGGTTTGGGGTCTTTTGACTCTTGTCTCTTCTAATCCCTCAGAAGTAGAGTGGCCGTTGAAATCACATATATTCAACAAAAGTAGCACGTCAGTTGGAGAACAGAATTAAACAGTCTACTGATACACATGCTGTTTACTTACAATCTCCAAATGCAGGTGTAATTGACCATAAATTAATTGGCAATTTTTGCTATCAATTTGTGACTGCCTTCATTCTTTTCAGTTGTTTTTGGCCATAAAAAAATATAGCAAAAACTAAGCAGCCCTGTTTTTTGAAATGCAGCACTCTCCTGATCTGTTCAAAGAGCTGCTCTACAGCAGCTACTCCCATTTTTGGACTCATCTCAGAACTTATCAAGATAACAAATAAAGGGGTAAAAAAAAGGACAGGGGAAACAATTGAGTGGACTAAACGTTTGCAGGGCTGATGGTGGGAGTCAGGCCTGCCCACAGCCCGTAGCATGGTGCTGCTGGCCAGGCAGCATCGTCCCCATGTTCATCCTCACAGCCAGGGTCGATGCGGCACCTGCCGACACCCAGAGAAGGGTCTGTCTGAGGGCAGAGGGAGAAATAGTCAAACTGCAGATCAGGCACAGGCTTTTTGCCAGTGGCAGTAACTAACGTGTGAACAGCCTAGGGCGATGGCTCCTCCTGTATTTGTTTTTTTCAGATTACCAAATAATATCTTTTCTAAAGTGTACGCTGCAACTCAGCCAGTCTTGAACGCGGTTGGTTTTGCGGCTTAATTAGTAGATCAATTACCCCGTTGCAGAAAGCTACTTGTGCCGCCGGCTCCCACGGGCTCTCCCTCGCAGCGGTCACTGCTGCGTGGGCTGAGGAACTGGCGTCCCTGCTCCAGCACGGGCTGCTCGTCCACCCGCCCTCTGCTCCCTCCTCTTTAAACACAGACATAAATCCGAGCGGGAGCCGGAGCCGGAGCCGGAGCCGGAGCCAGGGGCGGCCGCCCGGTCGGAGCGTGCGGCGGGGCCGCCC